GAGACAGAGTCGTCTCACTCTGTTGCCCGAGCTAGAGTGCCATAGTGTCAGCCTAGCTCACAGCAACCTCAAACTCCTGGGCTCAAGCGATCCTTCTGCCTCAGCCTCCCAAGTGGCTAGGACTACAGGCATGTGCCACCATTCCCGGCTAATTTTTTTATATGTATATGTTTAGTTGTCCAGCTAATTTCTTTCTATTTGTTTTAGTAGAGACAGGGTCTCACTCTTGCTCAGGCTGGTCTCGAACTCCTTAGCTCAAACGATCCGCCCGCCTCAGCCTCCCAGAGTGCTGGGACTACAGGCATGAGCCACCGTGCCCGGCCCCTAAATTACCTTTTAAAAGATCAAGGCAAACACGATGCTTCTGTGCCCTCTTCTCCTGGAATGAGGGCATGTCACTCTCTAGGCACATCAATATATTCACCCACCAGGAGGCTTCCCTGAGCCATAGTGTAAGGAGTTTTTATATGTAGCCATGATTGAATAATTGGCCATGTCTTCAGCCCTCTCCCCTCCCCAGAAGTTTTGCTGGCTCAAAGCCTCAACCCTCTAATCACACGGTGATCTGTCTGGTGAGCAACCCTCATCCTGGGTCATCTTGTTAGCATAGACTCAGGAATGATCTATGAGGCTCATGAATAGAAAAGATATTCCCATTATCAAGGAAATCCCAAGGATTTAGAGCTTTCCTCCCAGGAACTAGGACAAAGACCAGACAAATTATTTATTATACAGTAATGACAAATTGAAATTATCTCAGGAACCCAAGAGTAGTTTATCCCAAAACTTAAAGACTCGAAACATTTACTGAGTACAGGAATTAGGGAGCAGCTTAGCTGGGTGTGGTTGTAGCTCAGGATGTCTCCTGAGGTTTCAGTCACGATATCAGCAGGAGCTGCAGTCATCTGAAAGCTCAATTGGGGGAGGATCCGCTTCCAAGACAGCTCACTCACATGGCTATTGGCAAGAGGCCTCAGTTTCTCACACCGGCAGCATCTGGCTTCCCCTATGACGTGATCCAAGCAAGAGGGCAAGGAGGGAGCTGCAGTGCCTTTTAAGACCTAATGTCAGGGCCGGCCGCAGTGGCTCATGCGCTAGCACTCTGGGAGGCCGAGGCAGGTGGCTCGTTTGAGCTCAGGAGTTTGAGACCAGCCTGAGCAAGAGCGAGACCCCATCTCTACTGAAAATAGAAGGAAATTATCTGGACAACTAAAATTATATATATAAAAAAAAATTAGCCGGGCATGGTGGTGCATGCCTGTAGTCCCAGCTACTTGGGAGGCTGAGACAGGAGGATCGCTTGATCCCAGGAGTTTGAGGTTGCTGTGAGCTAGGCTGACGCCATGGCACTCTAGCCTGGGCAACAGAGTGAGACTCTGTCTCAGAAAACAAAAAAAAGACCTAATGTCAGAAGTCATACTTTGGGACTTTTTCTTTATTCTGTTTGTTAGAAGGAAGTTCACTCAGTTTAGCCCACACCAAAGGAATTGGTTTTGATCTCTTGAAGAGAGGAGTATGAAAAAATTTGTGGACATATTTAAAAACTACCAAAGATGGTATATTCTTCAAGAAAGTTCTTAATATGAATTAGTATGTTTTTTGTGAATTAGTATTAATTCATTTACACATTGAAGGAGAAGAATCCTGTGATCATATCACTAGATGGAGAAAAAAAACACTGATGAAATTTAACTCCATTCATGATGAAACCTCTCAGCAAACTAAGAATAGAAGGGAGCTTCCTTCATGTGATAGAGTATCATTACATTTTAAATTAATTTAGGAACAATTGACATACCAGATATTGAGGCTTTCTATATATAACATGATACATCTTTCCACTTATTAAAGTTTATTCTTATGTCCTTCACTATTTTAAAATTGTGCTTATCACTGTTTTGCATTTGGAACTGCAAAATGATAAATCAAAAATGAAGGTTGAAAGTCCTAGCCAGAGCAGTTAGGCAAGAGAAAGAAATAAAGGGCATTTTAAATTAGAAAGGAGGAAGTCAAATTTTCCCTGTTTGCGGATGACATACTTATATCATACATTCATACATATATAGAAAATCCTAAAAGCTTCACCAGAAAACTTTTAGTACTGATAAATGAATTCAGCAAAGTTGCAGGATACAAAATCAATGTACAAAAAATCAATAACGTTTTCTATACACCAATAATGAACTAGCAGAAAAAGAAATCAAGAAAGCAATCCCATTTATAGTAGCTACAAGCCCTTCCCACCAAAAAAAAAAACACCCTAGGAATGAATTTAACCAAGGAGGTGAAAGATCTCTACAAGGAAAACTGTAAAACACTGATGAAAGAAATTGAAGGACACAAACAAATGGCAATATATCCCATGTTCATAGTTGGAAGAATTAATATTGTGACAATGACTATACCACCAAAACAATCTACAGATTCATTACAACTCCTATAAAAATACCAATGACATTCTTCCCAGAAATTGGGGGGAGAAAGTCCTAAAATTCATATGGAACCGCAAAAGACTGCAAATAGCCAAAGCTATCCTGAACAAAAAGAACAAAGCTGGAGGCATTACACTAACAGACTTCAAAATATGATACAAAACTATAGTAAACAGCGTGCTACTGGCATAAAAACAGACACCTAGACCAATGGAACTGAACAGAGAACCCAGAATTAAATGCATGCATTTACAGCCCGCTGATTTTCAACAAAGACTCCAAGAACATACATTGGTGAAAGTACAGTCTCTTCAATAAATGATGCTGGGGAAATTGAAATGAAATACTATTCAACCTTACAGGCCGGGCGCGGTGGCTCATGCCTGTAATCCTAGCTCTCTGGGAGGCCGAGGCGGGCGGATTGTTTGAGCTCAGGAGTTCGAAACCAGCCTGAGCAAGAGCAAGACCCCGTCTCTACTAAAAATAGAAAGAAATTAATTGGACAACTAAAAATATATACAAAAAAACTAGCCGGGCGTAGTGGCACATGCTTGTAGTCCCAGCTACTCGGGAGGCTGAGGCAGGAGGATCACTTGAGCCCAGGAGTTTGAGGTTACTGTGAGCTAAGACGACGCCACGGCACTCACTCTAGCCCGGGCAACACAGTGAGACTCTGTCTCCAAAAAAAAAAAAAAAAAGAAATACTATTCAACCTTAGAGAAAGGAGGAAATCCTGTCATTCACAGTAGCAAGGGCTTGGAGGACGTTATGTTAAGTGAAATAAGCCAGGTACAGAAAGACAACTACTGTTCATTGTCACTCATATGTGGAAGTGTAAACCAGTATCACAGAAATAGAATAGTGGTTACTGGAGGCTGGGAAGGGGAGAGTTGTTGCGGGGGGGATATCCAGAGGGTGGTTAATGGATAAAAATTACAGCTAGGTAGGAGGAGTAAGTTCTAGTGTTCTATAGCACTGTGAGGTGACTATAATTAACAATTTATTGTGTATTTTTAAAAAGCTAGAAGAGAGAATTTTGAATGTTCCCAATACAAATGATAAATGTTTGGGGTAATAGATATGCTAATTACCCTGATTTGATCATTATACATTATATACATGTATCAGAATATCACATTTTACCCCATAAATATGTACAATTATTTCAATTAAAAATAAAAGGAAGGAAAAAAACCGCATTGCCAGAATACAGTCATCCCTCCGTATCTACAGGGGATTGGATCCAGGAACCTCCACAGATACCACAATTGGCATATACTCAAGTCCTGCAGTCAACCCTGGGGAACCTGTACAAAGGAAAGTTGGTCCTGTGCATCCGCGGGTTTCATATTCAGTGAATACTGTATTTTTGATCTGTGTTTGGTTGCTATACGAAGGGCCAACTGTACTGGGGGGAAAATGCATATATACAGGGACCCTTGCAGTTCAAACCTGTGTTGTTCAACGGTCAACTTTATCTACCAAAACCACCATTAGACCCAGAATCCCACTCTGGGAAGCTGTCCTGCAGATATATTTGCCTAAACGTCAACAAAAACATCTATCCAATTTT